AATGCTTCAAATTTCATGTATCCATGGTTATATTTACAGAGTTCCACAAAAATAAAAATATTAAGATTAATGATTGTGTCAAAAACTGGTTTTGTGTAAAAATATATATTTTTTAGTATTTTCCATAATTTTTTTTTTTAGTTTTTCCCGACGCGTTAATCCCGTACCATCTAAAAAAAAATATATATTATGGGCTTCAGCCACCTCAGTCTCAGTCCTTCCCATAARATACATAACTATAATACTATAATAGTTAATAAGACACCTATTAATGTTTGAATGAAATAAACAAATATCAACAACTAACTTTAAATGCATATACAAACTAATTATTTGCGATTTGTGACAATTTATTGACTGTTATAATTTCCCTWATTCATTGCCTATTTTTATACTGATATAAAAACTATTTACGTGGAAGTTGTGATAAATTTTCAAAAATTATAATGAAGCAAATATTCTTTGAATATATTTGTATAAAAAAATAATAAAACTATGTACCAAACATTTGTATTGYCTATAAAGAGCATTTATGATTATTTTGTTCCAATAATTTATTTACTTGGCGAGGAATTATTTAGAATAGTAGGTAAGTACCTGTATAAATATTTACAATAATATTATTAAAATAATAATAAGATATATTATATATTTTAATAGTCGTCATTTAATTATTTCGTTCATTACATTATTTTGTTTCTTTTAAGAAATAATTCCTGGCCAAGTAAATAAATTATTGAAACAAAATAAGTTTACTTAAATTCAATATATTTATCACTTCTTCATGATATCACATCTTTGTAGTACCTAGTTTGAGATCTAATATTTTTTTTTTAGTAGGCAATTTTGACACGGTAGTTTACGGARGGTTTTTKTTGTGATAACATTGTCCTAAGAAATCACTATCACTCTATTACTGCGCCAAGACCAAAGGGTAGTTGCTAAGCGAAACGGCGTAACGGTTTCGGGGGCGCTATCCGTGTGCAACCGGCGACAACTACTGCAGACTGAATGGTTTCCAAAGGCACACGAGTCAGGCAGATGGCGCTTGAAGAGAGGACCGCATGTATATAATATATACTTAACATTATTGTATTCTGTTTAATCTGTCGTAATGACTGACGTTGTTATTGATCCGCCGAGATAATGATAAACCTCAGTCCGCCCACGCGCACTATGATAACGGTGGACTTGTTGATCAGTGGCCGTCGAGTTTGAGTGCCACAGCTTGCGGCAGCTGTTGTGTGTGTTGCCGGAATCTATCAATCTGTGTGTCCCGACCCATTGCGCGGAAGCCATTACGGCGGTGATGCTGCTGTGCTCGACATCCACGTCCGGGTGAGTGCTAGTGGGACGCGCACGGGCGCCACCACAATGTCGGTCGCCGTCGCCCTAACCGCGCTGGTCGCATGCAGTTCCTGTTGCTTATTTACAGCCACCGCCGATTCGGGTTCCGATCTGGTCAGTAGTGACTACTCGTCGCTGGCAACCGACGACCAGCAGCCGCAACAGACATCATTCCAGTTGCAACAGATGGCTTCCAACCAGGTGAGCGTGCTTCTGGTGATATTGACAGTACCCTGCCATTAATGGATGCACGGTTCTATTGGATGATATTATTTTATTGCTTATGGAAGTGTTAGGTAGTCAGGTGAGCTACCACCGTTGATCCATGTCTTATTGGTCGTCTTGTAAGAATCAATGTTTGGATATAGCCATCTGGGTGAAATCTTTGAATTATTTTTCAGTTTTTCTTGGCCAACTGCATATACAACTGTGTTACTTATGCTAATAATATTATTCACAACAATATTATATTTTTTAACATARTTTAACATCAGTAGGTACCTTCGAACTACTGTTATTGCCTACTTCAAWTAAACAAGATTACATTAGTTTTGTTGCTGCAAGTTAAATACCATTATTAGTTGTATCATCCTAAAGTTATTTTGTTTATCTAAGGATTATAGGGCAACAATTGTTTTTAATATAACATCTATTACATTGCAGTTGTCTTCTTCTAGGTACCTACCCTAGGCGTTATTTTTGCATTTTAGTATCACACTTCATTGAAACCAATTGTGGTAGATATTCGTTYTCTTGATTTTAGCAATTCTAGCAATTCTATAAGTAGTGTTTTTCTTTAGTGTTTCTAAAAAAAAAAAAATATCTATTAATTATGCTGTACCCAATAGATGCTTATGATTAAACATATTTATAATTTTAAGATAGATGGTGGTTTTTTTAAAATACATTTTAACATGTTATTTTGTTTTATTTAAGCCTTACGGTCAAATTCAAGTGGATAATATYGATAATTCGAATGTTGATGTTTTTCATCAATTCCGTAAGTACAATTAGATATTAGATACCTACTTATTATCTTAGAGACTAATATTTTAGCAATATTTTAACACAAACATGCAGAGACAATATAAGATTAGTTTGGTGACTATTTTTAAATATCTGTAAATTACTGTTAAACATAGAATTCATATCATACACACRAAAGTAAATTTATTTCTGGACTCTGTAGGTGTGTTTAAACACATTATAGTATTTAGAATTGTATTACTTGTTTTATTTAATGTTTTTGATTTTTAACAGATTTTCATGAATCTTCTGAATGGCCTTTTCCACATCAAATTGATAACAGTATTGGGCAAATATCTGGAGTTTCCATAAGCAAAGACAATTTTGTGTATATATTTCATAGGGGTGATCGAGAATGGAATCAAACTACATTTTTTCAAAACAATGTGTACAGAGAAAAACATAAAGGACCAATTTCTGAACAGGTAGTTGTTGTATTGGATCCAAAAAATGGTTCGGTAATTAAAAGATGGGGAGGTCACAGGTATAATGTGTTTTAAAAGATATTAATGATAACAATAAAGATAATTCATTCATCTTTTTTTGCTTTAGATTTTATATGCCTCATGGCATTACTGTTGATCATGAAAATAATGTTTGGTTGACTGATGTGGCTCTTCATCAAGTTTTCAAATTYAGCCCTAACTCTGAAAATGTATTAATGACCTTTGGTACGGAATTTGTACCTGGAAATGACTTGGACAAGTTTTGCAAACCTACATCTGTAGCTGTAACAACTAGYGGTGAATTCTATGTAGCAGATGGATACTGTAATTCACGTATTATTAAATTTTCTGCTAAAGGACGAGTACTGTTGGAATGGGGCCGATCCACTTTAGTCACAGGTTGATAAAAAATGGTAACATATTGTAAACAAATGCAGCCTATTTACTAAAATTGAGAAAATTTAAAACATGTAACACTAAAATGTTATTCATAAAAAATTATTATTTTCTTTTACTATTATAAAATATTTTTTATATTTAAWTWCTKTTAATWATTAGTTGTAATTATACAGAAAAAATCTATTGATTGTGTTATGAATTAAAACTTAAATTCAATACTTTGTWAATTAAATTTCAACTGTTTAAATTAATTTTAAGAGAATGAAATAAACATTTATTCTTACTAATTTTTTTACTGCATGGTATTATATAATTGTATATTGTATAATTAACAGTATTTAACTCTTTTTATAATAAATATTTGGGTTGCTAGGGTAGTTATGCATTTACAGTTTTCTATGCCTTTCAATTCAAACAGTAAAACAGATTTTATAAATGATCATCCTGATAAATTACTTGTTATAAAAGTAATTATAATAAAAAAGGAAATTGAACCACATAAATAACACAATACCTACATTATGTTTAACATTTAAAGGATTAAAAGAGTTTTATTATCTGACACCATTTTATTTATAAAAAATAAATACTAGAATCAGTACCAATTGCAAACTAAAAAAACAAGTTTTAAGTTATATTATTTTCTTAAATTTTGTGGTAATTATTATTATGTGATTAAAGGTGAGATGTTTGTGCCCCCTTACCAACTGTGGATCCCACATGCTTTGACATTAGCTGAAGACAAAGAATTAATATGTGTAGCAGATCGTGAAAATAGCAGAGTATTATGTTTCAATACCAACAATGGAACCTTTAATTTTGAAATTAATCCACAATTATTTCAACGTATATTTAGTGTTGCATATTCACCAGTGGCTGGTACATACAATTTTATAATTGCTAATTATTGTAAAGTAAAAAAATTGTAATAATTATTATATTGATTATTTGGTTAGAAATGTTACTTTAAGATGATAAAAATATATTGAACTTTACATGTATTCTTTTGTATACAGGGTGGGTTTTAGGCATGCTTAATTATGCATGTATTAAAATTCAGATTTTTGAAATATTCAAAAACTTGAAGACCATTTTTCGGATCACTGACATTTTTGGTACAACTTAAACATAAGGATGATTTTAAGACAATGCAATCTTTAGTTTTTCAAATAGGAACCATCCTTTTTTATTTTTTATTAATAAGCAGATTTTTTTTTCAGAATTTTGATATATCTAAACCTACATTCAAGCTAGTAATTTTGAGTTATGTAACATTGTGTGTTAAGGGTAACATGTTTATGTGGTAAAATGTTAAGTAAACATGGGGCTTAGACGATTTGAAAAAGTTAGTAATTACTATTAATTTATCAATATAAATAGTTTWAAATAATTTTAAAAATGATCCAAATATAATAAATAGGTACTACATCTAATATTACATATAGTTTTTATTTCTTAAAAAAAATGTTTAGGATTACAGTAGAACCTCTCTAATCCGTCACCTCCAGGACTGAGGGTGTGGTYGTAACGCGAAAAAGGTCGGATTATCAGAATATACAGAACATTTTTATTTATATATTACATACAAGATTATATTAGAAATTTATTATATTTTACAATACTTAAAAAAAAAAATAATTATAGATTTTTGTTTAGCAAATGACATTTTAGACTTAGCTAAGACTAATAAGGGAAATAATAAACTAGCAATTAATTGTATATATCTTTTATAAATTGGAAAATCCAWATTGTACTTTTTAAATTATATACATAGTATTCATATCAATAATACTATGGTCAGATCAACCGGAGCGGCGGATTAGCCGAGGGCGTACGTACGAGAGGGGTTCTACTGTACTATCCTTAGTATAAACATTTTTAAAACCCTAAAACTACTCATTCAAATTTTGGTTTAGATACATCAACATTAAAAAAAATAYATATATCTGCTAAATACCTAAATAATTTTCAGTAAAAAGGGTTCTCATTTGAAAAATAAAAATTAGTATTGCTATAKTAGGTATACTCCTCAAGTAGTACAAAAAATATCAGAAATTTTAAAATATGATCTTTAAGTCAACATAAAAATTCTAAAAATCAGAATTAAAATAAATGTACTATTAAAGAGAAAGATGGTACCTAGCAGGCTTAAAAAATCACCCAGTATATATTATTTTGTATTTGTATGTACAATTTTTTTTAGTGTTTAATCTCATATCTCGTATACTTTTAGGTGGATTATTTTATGTACTTAACGATAAAAATATGGATGTAATAACTGAGACATTAGCACAAGGAATTGTCATTAATGCTTCAACATTGGAAATAATTGGAAAATTCCATCCTAAAGATGACGAATTTTCACGACCTCATGACATGGCTGTAAGCCCAGATGGAGCATCTGTTTATGTTGTGGAACTTATAAGATCTCATATACGAAAGTTTGTGTTAGGTTGGTAAATAATAGTAATTTGTTTAACTTAACTCTTATTTGTATTATTGGTGTATACTGTACTTACTTATGTTTTAGATTCAGATATCCAAAACAAATTTATAAACAAAAGTGTTGATACATTTAGTGTTTCAGAGCAAGAATTAATGTTGAATAAATACAATGTGCTAGAAAGTAAGTGGAATTATGAATTTAACTATTTTTAAATATTTTGAATTAATTTTTATAAATTGATTATTTGTTTACTATATTGTTGAATTTTATAATAATAATGTATAATTAATTTAAGTATAAAATTAATATCTAATATATATAATTATTATTTATTTATTTATTGTATACTTTTTTGGAAAAAGTCACTATTCTAAATTTTCTTTGAAATAATGGTAAAGCAGACTTAACAAAACTTATTTTATAAATTTAGACCCTATTTATTTATTGGTGCTTTGTATATTATAAAATATAATAATAACAAAGTACAATTTCAAATTGTATAAACTTATTACTTATATTAATTTATATGCTAGGTATATAGTGGACATTATTATTATAATATTATCAATATTTCATAATTTATATATCTATTTAATTTTAATAATTTTGTAATTTAATAAATATATTGATTTATATTTATATTTATAATGTATTAATCAAATGGATTACACTTTTAATAATTTTATTTCTATAATCTGATAAGAAATTTCATTGAAAAATGCTTCTTGTAACAATTATTTTATCTTTTACATTCAATAAATTATATTTATTAAATTATGATTTACAAATTAATTTACTTCTCTTTATCAGGTTATCACTTATCATGACACGTGATAATGAAAACAAATCACTGTTTTTAAACAATTAAATTTTTTTATATATACCAAGTGGATGAATGATGTAGATATTTTATTTTAACTTTTAATTCCTTAATTTATTTTTTTGCTACTGAAAAAAAGAATTAATTCTGTAATTATTTAATGTCTCAAAAACAAAAGCTAAGTTGCTTGGTAGGGTTACGTAATTAATTCACTTAAAATCTGATCTTATGTAAAATCACATAAACATAGAACAGTTATAAATCTAATACAAATGAAATATAAATAATTATGTTACTTAATACATATTGATTTTCTTCTGAAAAATGGCTGCTCTTATAAAATCGAGGATAACATTCTATGATACTGATTCTAAAATATTTCCATTTAAGTTTAATGTTATTTTATTTTAACATTTTAGTTATAATATTTATTGAAATGTATTTAATAATTATTATTGTGTTAATATTCTTTTAGATTGTCCTGGTCTACGAGAAAATTCTGGAAAACAAATTTTAGTGATCATGTTAATAATTGCTGTGGGTTTGTTTTTCACTGCTGCTATATTCGTAACTGTTTTGATATACACAAGAACTAAATCAATAGGTAAGTTCTATAACTTGAATAGTTATTAAAAAGTAAAATAATAATTATAATACTGTAAAAAGCTTTCATTCATTATATATTGMTCTAGTGATCAATTTATACTTTAATATTTTGCGTATACTTTTTGTGTTTATAGTCTATTAATCTATACTGCTCATATAATTTTWAATTTTTTWATTTTTTTGAAAATATAATTTAATGATAATTAAATTGAGATAAAATTAATGATAACGTTAAAGGAACACTAAATTTCTATGATGGTTAAATCTTTAAGTTTTGACCTATACTTGTATGTATGTATTCATTATACAACAGTGGTATAGATTAAGGATGGATTTGTGAAATGGCCGAGTGGGCTGCAGAACAGGGGCCTCTTACAGTTTTGTAATTATTTAACAGTTAATACAGAAAATTGTATTTAATATTTTCATTTAAATTTATAAATATTATAATGTTATATAAAAATAGATAAACACACATTTCATTTATTTAAATTAATTATATAAAAAAAAATATTTATGTGTATTATCATTGAATACATTTTATGCTTATGTGTTCAAATAAATTAATGATATATTTGAATCTTGATAAGAAAGGTTTTTACTTTTTTGCCAACTGTGATCACTATTCTCAGTGGATCGTAACAATATTGTTGAATGCGTTTCAAAATATACATCATACATATTAAATGGATCAAACATTGTAACTATTATAAAACTATATCCACCTATATTAGACTCTTTAGAGATTATAAACAAGTTGTAACCTAACTAATTGTAGTCCTTCAAAAGCTGAGTATTGTTATCATCAACATGAAAAGAGCATAGGTACTATAAAACAAAATTATCTAATATTTGTTAATAAAACAAAAAAAAACAGCAATAAAAATATAGATAAGAAATTTAAGCATGGTTTGTTTTTTACAACACAATAATTATTAATGAAACTTAGCTTTATCCTTTATATGAATTCTTTTTTTCAATACCTATACCGGAGGTCAGAAATAGTTCAGCAAACCATTTTTTCTTAGCAAGTTATTCTGGGTTTTCTCAGACAAATAAAAAAATAAAATAAAAATTGCATTGGGGTAAAATATTTTTAACTGGCTCCTAAAACCTAATCTAGTCTATTATATTTTGTTATACTGAAATGTTGCATTCAAATATAAAATAATAATGTTTTTAACAAAATGATCAGAAATTAGTTTTTTTTTTTTTTAATTATCCCGCGGCAACTAAGGCCATTGGGAAGGGGGTAGTACTGTAGGTGCTTACGGAACTGTAGGTTAGTTTTACACGTGGGTGAGAGTTTTGGCAGAATTTCTATTGGGGCACCCGTAGGTTTCTGCCATGCCCCGGAGTGGGGGATGGCGGCACTTGTTCTCGGGACACCGTGACTTGCCTGGATAAAAATGCCGCCTGATGGTCGAGGATCGAACCCGGTCCGGCTGAGCCACAGCCGACGCGGTAGACCACTCGCCCACCTCGTCCCCCTTAGTTTTTTTTTTAAAGCAGTGGATTTCATAAAAAGTAAAAWACAATTAATGTAATTATGTCATTGTCATTGTTAAACATAAATTTCTGTTTAAACCACAATAATATAATTGATTAAAAAATTAGTAAATTCTACAGAATGAAATATAGCTTTAAAAGTTATTTATAGTATATCAGTGTATTACTGTCGTWTAGGTATAATCAATATACACAACAAATCTTTTACTAGTTTACTACTTATCATGGCTAAACAACATGGTATATTGTCAACTTGCTCTGCGCAAATAGCTAATTCAGACCAGTACGTCACGCTGTCTCTTGCCTAACATGTTTACCTTCAAATTGGAGACATGCTTACCGCATACGTCATAATTTATGGAATAAAATCAACATTCTATGTTATTTCACATAATAAGTATCAACGATATGCGTATCACAGGAAATAAATATTAGATTTTGACGACATTCCATGTTATTTAGCCATCATATGATACCCAATATTGTGCTGAGTGTTTAATTTGAAAACATCATCCCGCCTGCTGTGTTTTCACTTTTAATATGTGATATGTCAATTAATAATTCGAATCATGGGGCGCCATTAAAGTTTTTAATAAGTATGGTGGAAAACATTTTTGGTGACTTAAAGTGGTGGAGGCTAAAAAAAAGTTTAACTTCATATAATTACACATATCATAATAATTGTATTATTAATTGCGAAATAATTAAATATAGTTTTTAAATTATTGTGGTTTTTGATTTCGAGCTTTTTGGGCCACATAAGATAGCTTGGTAGACCAGACAACATGGGTGGATTCATAGTTATATTTTAGGTTAACGTWATATCTTTTATTTTAGAGGATGATCGCCAATACACAGTTTTGATTAATTGTATAAACTACAGTATTTCATAATATTCGATGTGATGAAATATCATACTGAAAAATAAGTATTCAACCAGGTTGAATCAACCTAAACCATTCATATTTATATGTTATACTTAAATTATAAATTCAAGATTGAGTTCCTATTTTTAACGACTCTGGTTCGAATATGACTAGGATTGCATTGTTTTGACTTCATAATATAATACATAGTGATTAGATTATCACAAAACAATAATTATAATGGAAAAATATGGGATTTTCAAAACATTTTTTTTTTWWAWWTTTTTTGTGTTTTTTATTGCCTAATGCCCTTCATTCAATAAATTGTGTGTTATATTATGACTCCTAATTAGGTGAAATAAAAAACGATTTCAATAACATATTTACCTACACATAAAATGACTGTTTTATATGATGATAAATGAATCATCCTGTAGGTACCTATTTATATTATTGTATAACTTATAGTGGCTTATAGAGTTATGAAGCTACGGTACCTACGTTTATATGTACTTACTACGTGCGTACATGGCTGACGCCACTTTAATGTATTACATACAATTTATTGTATGTTTCAGCTCACCGCAAAGACGCGGCTTTCAGTCGCTGGCAGCCTCGGACACTCAACACTGCAGATGGATTTACTTTGGGCAATATATTCAATAAGAAACAACGAGCTGGATTCGAAAAACTTGCGACCGTGGAGGTGAGTGAAGATGACGAAGATGGCGATGACGACGACAACGATCTGAACGTGAGGGCTTAAAGATTGAAATATTATAATATAATAATAATATCTTGTTAGTAGATTCGATTTATCGTTACAGTTATTATTGTTTGTATTTTTAATTTATTGTAAAACCCTTTATTCAATGGACCTATACTTATAAAATCCCAATATTTGTCAGCTAAACGTCTATTTGCGTATCGACCCGAGTATCCAACCGCATATTATACACACACAGGACACACCACACATTATATAACACTATAAAGTCTAAGTTTATTATTATAACTATTCTACTAAACTATTTATTATTATAACCGAACAGAGTTGAAAATATTATTTGTAACAATATAAACGATTATTGRAATAAAAAKAAAAAGAAAGGAATTTAAATAGTTACTTTGTATTTTTTGCTTCGTTAAATTATAAAAGATCCTCTAATAATATATATTATATTCTTCTCAATTCCTGCTTTTCTTTTTATCCGCCCGTCCGCATAAAATTATGTTAATTGACCTTCTAATCTTGGATCCATGTCATTTCGAAGAAGATATAATTTGGCTCTGGGCTTACCCCTTGCTAGTCCAACGATTCATTGGCTCTCCTGGGATATGCTTTTGTATCCCAATAACGTGAATATATATTATATACTCCCTAAACTCCTTATCTAAACTGAATTTATTTATAGACATAATGTGTTTACCACTGTATTACTTAACATTAGACATGACTCGATTTTGTTTAATAATTTAAGCAATACTTCAATGACTATCTGGGGACGGAATCGCTAACGGTCTAATCAGTCTTGATATTTTATCTGTTGAATTTAAATTGAAGGATTACTTGATTTGTATCATGACCCAAGTACAAACATATAGCGAGTATCATATATACCTCTGAATCTTGGCTTCAACACATTTATCCTATCATACTAAACTGTTAAGTACTAAAACGATAATACAGTAGATACTAGATACCTGTATACTTTAATGTATTAATCTCCACGAGTTTTATTCCATAGATTTAATGTATATAGTATTAAACTATTTAGCTGAAATCAAATAAATATTATTTTCCATTTACACTTTTAATAAAATTTAAAGTCAACAATATTTTTCATCGAAAGAGTATTCATACAACAGCTACCTATTTTTTMAAATTGTAATGAATTGTATGGTTATCACTGTTCAATTAYATAATATGCAAAAAKCATGAATCGAAATAAATTTWAAAAAATCATATTTTTAGTTTTTACTAAGAATCTAATCATTATTTTTGTTAAAAACAGATTTTTGGTATAATATATGTATAAAACTGAAATACTTATATGTACACATAACACATGAAATAATATTAATGTTTGTTACGTGAATTGATTGACGATTGTATACACTATACATATAGACTATACGATTCGATTAACAGTTAAACACTCGGTTAAACATACAACAAATTAAATGTAAATTTAATATTTGTTTTTTTAATACCTATTAATATTATCAATTTATAATATTATTATACTATAAAAATATAAAATATTTTGACTGTGTTTCATTTTAATATATAAAGTAAATAAATACGTATAAGGTATAACGATTAATATTTTTGAATTATTTGGTGTACTTCTGCTGTACCTGCAACCACTGATATACAGATTACAGAGAAAAAAATTTTATTTTATTCCTAAGAAATTTTTTATTTATTTAATTATTAGACAAAAACCTCTGCAGCAGTGGCCATTGGCTGACATTGTTTACATTGTTTTTACATAATTTTTACATACCTAGGTAGTTTTGTTTTTACATATTATTTTACATTATTTGTTTACAATAAATTTTCGATTTAAGTTTCTTTTATGAAGTTTAGCGCCTGTTTGATGACTGATACGTTTGGACCTAATGATTGGTATAGAAATTCTGGGATATTGTGTTTGGTTCTTGTAGCCTCTGATTGTTTGCATTCGACGAGTACCTATATGTTTGATAGTCAAGTGAACTTCGCATGTTGCGCACCTGGGTTTTTCTTCTCTGTTCATTAGGTAACCTCTGTTCATTGTGTAGCGAGTATGTCCTATTYTTAGTTCTTCTTCTGGCCTGTTAATACGGACCATTGAGGTCCTTTGCCACTTCCACAATCCTTTTCCACTGATCCATATCCTATGCCATGTCGATGCTGAAGGTGTTGTTTATTTTTAACAGGTGTCCTTTCACCGAGTCAAACCATCTCTGSCGTGGTCTCCCCTGGGGTCTCTTTCCGGTTGGGTTCCCCACCATAACCTTCCGTATGAGACATCCTTATTATTATTATTACATCCTATTCTTAGACGTGTTAATAATACTTCTTCTTTTCTGTTAAGATTTGCTATATTTCTCCAACGTTCTGTTTTTTGTTTTATTTCGTTAAGTTTGGTTTCTCCTCTTCTCCATTTGTTTGACAATTTATTTTTCAATCGCAGCATTGATACACCTTAGTGTGTCTTCATAAGTACAGTATTTATCGCGTATTTCTAAGTTATGATTATTGGTGGAAATTGAAGTCAACTATCAGGTTTAATACTTCGTGAATTTAAAAAAAAAAAAATTAAATTAAATTCTGAAGGTATACTTCAGATTTAAATTAAAAAAAAACCCCTTACAAAGCATTCTAAACTTTTAGAAACATGAAAACATGTCAAACAGTTTTATCGATTTACATAATATGACATTTCATTATTATTATAACCAACATTTTTTTTAACCTTGTGCTATATTTAAAACAAATACCTAAACTTTAAAGAGGGTTGTAGTTTAGATTGTCATAGCTCATAATAAATCAACATTCTACAAAAAAAAATTGAGTGTTAGTCCTTACCCCTTATAAATTATAATAGCTATATAACAAACACAATCCTTGGCAGAAATGAATTATTTTGTAAGTATAACCATTTTAGGCAAAATCATGTGCTATTTAATTTTAATTTTATAACTTATTCTGTTATTTGTTCTCTTCTTTGTAGTAAAATAATATAACTGGTGGTCTCTTTGATTAGATAATCGGATCTGTATATTTGAATATAAACATTATTCTAATTGTTTTTTTCTTTTCAATTTCGCTAAACATTGTCGTCTATGGCTATTAGCTTTTGTGTTATGGTTGGTTTTAGGAATACGTATTAATGTAGGGTGAGGATTTGTTGCAAAAACCCGGGTGGTTACCATCAGGGATCTAACAACGCTAGACGGTGCTTGACCGCAGCACATATTACATTAGTTACTGCGGCCGAAAATCGCATCACATAATCAGGCCTTCCTCCAACTATTATTTAAATAATGTAAATCTTATTGTCGTACATTGTTCTTATTGTACAATTTACAAAATGTATTATAGGTATAGATTGTAAATAGGTACTATACTATTTATATATAATTAATAATAAACAACATATATATGTATAGGTTAGATAAGTTATATAATGAAATATAACTCATCATTGAACTACAAATAGATAGTAAATCTAGCTGTAGTACATAAGAAAAGTAGATTTAACATAAAACATTGTTATACATTTATCATTAAATAATTGACTTATAAATTATTGGTAAAAATGATAAAATAGCTGTAACTTAGTGTGAATTATACCTTATACCTACAATATTTTCTCGGTATTGAAATAAAAATGATATTAATGTATGGAAAGATTTATACTATTACAATTTATATTGTACAATACCTACCTATATACATAAAACACTTATGATAATTTAACAGTAGACACATGGCAAACAAAATGGACCAGCGTTCCTCTCTCAAATAAACTGAGAAATATCAAGC